AAAACCTGCTGGGAAGTTGGTTATGAGTTGATCCCAACTCAATATTAAACACTGACAACAACAGATGATTGGAACTAAAGGGCCTCTAAGTCCACTTCTAATCCAATACCCCATGCCAACTTTACTGTTGAGTAAACTGAGACCTTCCTCTGGTCACATAGCTGACCTCTATCTAAGGCACCTGTATTCTCCCCTGCAGTGTCAGAAACACACCCTCTATGAAGTACCAGCTCATTCCCTCCAAGTCTGTCCCCCTGGAAGAAAAATTGGGTGGCTGAAGGTGGGGAGAAAATAAATTTCCCAAAACCTAGGTGTTCTGACCTGCTTGGATATAGTAAAGTTTGCATTTCCACAGAAATTCACAGTTCATGTGCATCACTCCCCTGACCCTGATGATCCCCTTGGACAGGTGAGGAACTCACAGAAGCAAATGACTTGCTCAGGGCTGCTTGGCTTGTACTTAGCAAAGTTCAGTGAGGAAAATTCCACTTTTCAGCGTCTAACACCGAGTTCTGCAACTACTGGCTGTGAGGCCTGACTTGTCATTTTAGCACTCGGAACCTCTTCACTGGCTCTCCAGAACCTTGACACCACTTCACGTTGCTTACAAGCACTGCCACATGGCCCTGAGCCAGGTGCTGAGGTCACCAATATGAAGACCCCCCCAACCCCCCTTCACCCATGAGAAGAGAGAAAACAGGCAAGTGAACAACTGTGGAAGCCAGTAGGAAACATGCAGGAATCTGTGGGGGTTTTTTTTCCTTTTAGGGGTCCAGGAAGTCTCAAGAGACGTCTATTCAGAGAATTTCAGTGCACAAATCAGCTTCCTTTTCAAAAATCCCCACATCTAAGTGTCAGGATTCAAAACCAGGAAGTTATTTTGTTTTTTTTAAATGTACTTCACACAAAGATTTTTTATTCTACAGTCCTTTAAAAACAAACAACAAAACAAAACCAGCCTCATTACCTTCTTTCTCCAGTTCCCACTTCTGGATCGTTTGGAGCAGCACTGGTGTGCAGAATAGAACAAACACACCGGCCTTCTGTGGGCTGGGGCTGGACTCAGACTACTGACTGGTCTCAGCACTCACAGAGCATCATTGCTTCTCAGCACCACTCCCATTTCCCCACCTCTTGGCTCTTCCCACCTTGGGCTGTGGCAATTGCTTTGCTACCTGGACTGTAAATGGACAGTTATTATCACTGATTACTTCTGACCTGCCATAGGTCCTCGAGAGGCACAAAAGATCTATACGTGACTATATTCAGAACAGATCATCTGGGAGGCTGGATCTTATGAAGAAGAACGTGGCATCAGGATTGGAGGAAGATTCATCAATAACACATGTTATGCAGATGACACAACCTTGCTCACTGAGACTGAGGAGGACTTGAAGCATTTGTTGCAGAAGATGGAAGACTGCAGTTTTCAATATAGATTGCATCTCAACATCAAGAAAACTAAGATTCTCACCACCAGGCCAACTGGCAGCATCATGATAGATAGAGAAAAGATTGAGGTTGTTACTAATTTCATTTTGCTTGAATTCAAAATCAACACTTTCGGCATCCGCAGTCAGAAAATCAAAAGATGAATTGCTTTAGGAAACATTGATGTCAGGGACCATTCCAGAATGCTAAGAAGCAACAAGGTCAATCTAGAGACCAAGTTGTGCCATGGTTTTCTCAATTGCTTGTTATGCATCTGAGAGCTGGACAATGACTAATGAGAAGGATAACTGATGTCTTTGAGTTGTGCTGGAGAAGAGTCCTCAACATACCATGGATGGCCAAGAGAACAAACAAGTCTGTCCTGGAGAAGGTGAAGCCAGGTTGCTCCTCGGAAGCAAAGATTTTGAAGTTCCACTTCACATACTTTGGTTATGTTGCCAGAAGGGATCAGTCCTTGGAGAAGGACATCATTCTTGGAAGGGTGGAGGGTTAGCAAAGGAGAGGAAGACCTTGGGAGAGATGAATTGATATAGTGACTGTGGCAATGGGAACAGGTGTTTCAGAGACAGTGAGAGTGGCTTGGGATAGGACAGGGTTCACAGCTCTTGTTCATAGGGTCGCCATGTGGTATAGTATACCACTCGACAGCATATAAAAACAACAACAACAATCTAAAGGTTGGCAATTTGAATCCATCTAGTGACATCATGGAAGAAAAGCCTGGAAAATCTGCTTTTATTAAAACCACTGCCAAGAAAACTATGAACTGGCTCTCCACTATAACATGTGAGGTCATCATGAGTCAGTCACTCCATGGCAACTGGTTTGGTTTACTCTGCACTTTAGCACTCCATTGTGTTTGGATTATAGCAATAGAACAAAACAAGGGATTACTATGACAAAGCAGTTGCCAAGGGTCTAAAATGTTAAAGAGTAAGGATGTCACCTTGAGGACTAAGGTAAGCTTGATTCAAACTGCAGCAATTTCCATTTTTATTATGGTATTACAATTTTTAAGAATATTGAGTTTACCGTGGACTTCCAGGGGAATAAATAAATTTATCTTTTAAGAAGTGCTGCCAGGATGCTCCTTAAAGGCAAAGATGGTGAGAATTTGTCTCACATGCTTTGGGCATATTATTATGAGAGGCCAGATCCTAGAGAAGGACTTCATGCATGGTAGACGGTCAGCAGGAAGGACGAAGAGCCTCAATGAGATGTGTTGCTGCAGTGGCTGCCAGCTTAGCAATAACTGGGAGACTGACAGGATGGTGCAGGAGCCAGCAGTGTTTCATTCTATGACCTCATATGTGGGCATGATTAACTCCAGTGTCCATTTTGCAGATGAGAAAAACCAAGGCCCAGAACTTAGGTTTCAATCAGAGCTCTCTGACTGGAAACTAAGGGCTCCCAACCCATTTTACTCCTAGCAGGACTGCAGCCTCCTATATGGATCGAAGCTCAACAGCAAGAAAACAAATATTCTCACCACTGGACCAATTGGCAGCATCAGTATGGATGGTGAAGAGACTGAGATAGTCAAGTTTGTTTACCTGGCTCCACAGTCAATACTCTTAGTAACAGCAGCCAGGAAATCAAGAGACGAATCGCATTGGGAAAGTCAGCTGTGAGGGACCTCTCAAGAGTACTGAAGAGCAACGATGTCAGGCTGGAGACTAAGGTGCACCCGATCCAGGCTATTCGCAATTATGTGCTGTGCATCAGAGAGTTGGACATAGGGATGATAGAAAGAGAATTGATGCCTTTGAGCTGTGGTGCTGGAGAAGAGTGTTGAACATACCATGGACTGCTAGGAGAACAACAGTTTTGTCCTGGAGAAGGTGAAGCCAGTCTGCTCCTTGGAGTCAAGGATTCTGAAGCTACGTCTGACATACTTTGGGCATGTTGCAAGGAGGGACTGGTCCTTGGAGAGGGACATCATGTTTGGCAGAGTGGAGGGGCAGTGAAGGAGAGGAAGACCCTCGATGAGATGGATCGATTCTGTGACTGTAGTGGTGGGAATGAGTGCATTTGAGATGGCTAGGTTGGCACAGGATAGAAGGGAATTTAGAGCTCTTGTACATACATAGGGTCGCTATGATCAAAAGGGACTCGATGGCACATAACAACAACAGGATGCTTGCCAACTGCCCCAGTGGCCCAGTTGGCAGCATCATGATACCAGAAGAGATTGAGACTGTTAACAGCTTCAGCTTGCTTGGCTCCACAATAAACACTTGTGGTACCAGCAGCCAGGAAATCAAAAGACGAATTGCATTGGGAAAATCTGCTGTCAGGGACCTCTCCAGAGTACTGAAGAGAAATGTCAGTCTAGAGACTAAGATGCACCTGATTCAGACCATAGCCTTTGCAATTACTTGCTGTGCATCAAAGACTGGACAATGACTATGGATGATAGAAGAAGAATCAATGTCTTTGAGTTGTGGTGCTGGAGAAGAGTATTGAATATACTATGGACTGCTAGGAGAACAGATTCGTCCTGGAAAGGGTGAAACTAGGCTGCTCCTTGGAGGCAAGGATTTTGAAGTTCCATGTGACATACTTTGGGCATGTTGCAAAGAGGGAACCATTCCTTGGAGAGGGACATCATGCTTGGGAGGGTAGAGGGACGGCACAAGAGAGGAAGACTCTGGAAGAGCTAGATTGATTCAGCGACTGGCGTAATGGGGGTAGATGTGTTGGAAACAATGAAATTGGCTCAAGATAGAATAGGGTTCAGAGCTGTTGTACAAATGACTAGATGGTCCATACCAATAACTACAGGACGCTTGCTACTTCTTGCACAGGGAGGCTCAGAGTTGTAGTCTGCAATGTGGAGAGACGGGGTTGGGGGAGAGGACACAATGGTTAGTGTGGCATGGAGGCCACCATGAGAACCAAAGGGGCAGAGGTCCTCTCTTCCTGAGGCTCGGCGTCTTTCTCCCCAATGCACTGAGCCATACCTTAGCCAGTGGCTAGAACAGCGAACTGGTGAGAGGTGGAGAATCAGTCTCCAGGCCGAGCAAGGGAGGTGCAGGGGCCAGAGAAGAGTGATTTACAGAAAGAACACTCACCCTTTGCGCTGGGCGCCCCTATCCTGGCTCGCGTGGCACTTCCGATCTGGGCCAGGCCTCACGCCCCTCGGAGCCCCAGCCCCGCCCCCGGGCCTTGGCGTCCCCGTCCCGACCCGCTCCCGGCCCCGCCTAGCCCGGTGTGCCCACCCCCGGCCAGCCCCACCGCCCCCTGGCCCGGCTCCTGCCGAGTCCCGGAGCTTCATAGCGCGGGCGGACTGGCGGCCAGTCGGCACAGTGACGCTGGCGCTGCAGCCACTAGGCTCCCCCGCCTACAGCATCTGGAGCCCGGAACCAGCGGTTCAGGAGGCGACGCCGCACAGGGGGCTGGAGCAGGTCAGGCAGGAGCGGAAGACCGCGGAGGAGACGGCCAAGGAGGAGGCCCGCCGGGCGGCTCTCGGGCAGCCCACCGCGCCGCGCCGGTAGCCGGCCCTCTGCGCTCGGTCTCCCGCCCGGCCCGCGCCCCAGAGCAGCCACATGGCTCTGCTCCGCGCACTGCTCGCCTGCCTGCTGCCCCTGCATTGCGCGCTCTGCGCCGCGGCGGGCGGCCGAAACCCAGGTGCGTGCGGGCGCGCAGGGTCCAGGGGTGCACGCAGGACGCAGAGGCCCTGGGGAGCGTGACCGAGGAGGAGAGGGTTCCAGCGGGCGGGAGGCATGCTGGCGCTGAGGTCACTTTCCTTCTTCGCGTGCCACCAGTGCTGCCCAGGGTTTTCTCATCCCTTCCTGACACTGAGGGACAGAGAGATCCCGGACAGGGTTTGGAAAAGTGAGGTGGGAATGTTGAGCAGCTTTTTAGCGACCGTGTTTCTTTCAGTCTCAGTGTTACTCTCTACAGCTCTCTCTCAGTACCTGCTTCTCTCTTCTGTGTATCATTTCGTCTCCAACTTGGGTGCATTTTTGTGTGTTTGCCTGACAGACTAACTGCACCCAAGGGTGGCAGGTGGACACCCCATACCAAGGAACACAAGAGCACTCACCCTTATGCACAAAAGCACACGCACACACTTCCCTTCCGCCACCTGATCACAGGCTCACATACACACGCTCACACACACGCGCAGACACCCACACACTTTGCCCTAACCTTGCAGAGTGGGGTCACCCTGCCCCTACTGATGGCTCTGGACGTGGCAGGAAGCTCCATCTCTTTCCAGACAGGGTGCCTGCTGACTTCTGAGCTCTGTGCATGTACCAAAGAGGGTCCATTTTACAGTAATCTCATGGGTCTTCTGCTGGAATGAGTGAAAACAGGGAAGGATAAGACCCCCAGCCCATAACTACCTTGAGGCGATGTGATTGTTCAATCACATTGCTTCTGGGCTCTATCAGTGCTGTGAAGCAGGAGGTGATGTGGAAATGAAAATTCTTCTCCAACTCCTGTCAATGAATCACCAGTCCTGGAAGCCAGGGAACTGTCATTCCTGCCTGGCTGGCCATCTCAGGGAGAAGTGTGTGAGGACACTGGCGGCCACTGGAGTGCAGCCTGGAGCCTGGGGCCATGACCTCACACTCAATTCAGCCAGTAGGCAGGTCCCCTGTGCGCCTTCTTTTATTTTTGAAGATCTATATTTACCCATCTTGGGTCTGGGCCATGGAGAAAGCTCGGGCAACCTCTGTGCTGCTTTAAAAAGTTTTCTTTCTAAACTTGGAAAAACATAGAGCTGTGTCTTCCCTTCCTCTCTCTTCAGCTCCTCCTTTCTCTGAGGAGGCGTGTGCCCACTCCCATGGGTTTCTAGGTGTGTTTGTTTTGCCAGCTGCATTCTTGGGAACGTGGTGGGGGAGGGTCCTGCCCCTGGCAGGCTGGTGACTTCAGTCTCACTGGGAGGGATCTGGCTCTCCTCCTGCCCTGGGGGCTTTCATGGAATTTCACTTCTTTCCTAGGCACTGTTGTTAGAGTGACAGAGCTCTGTTTGCTATGTCCCTCCCTTTTTCTGCTAAAGTTTCAAAAGGAGTCCCTGAGCTGTGCAAATAATCATGTTGTACTAACCCAAAGGCTGGTGGTTTGAACCTACCGAGGAGTATCTCTGAAGAAAGGCCTGGCAGGTTGTCTCTTTAAAAGCCAAGTCCTTGAAAACTTTGTGGAGCCCAGGTCAGCTCTGCACGCATGCTGTCATTGTGTACCGTCGAGTCAGAACCAACTCATAACTGACCCGTGCACAGGTTTTCAGAGTCACTCAGCCTTCAGAGTTCCCATGAGGTCACCCTAATGTAACAGCATCATCTCCATGACAACTGATTTGGTTGTTTTGCATGTTTTTTGTTTGTTTGGTTTGTTTTTTTTAAAGTTTAAGATATCCTGAGGTTAGAGAGCACACGTTATGCCCATCAAGTATTTGAATACCACTCATCCAAGTGTAGGGAGCACTGGTGGCTTGGTGGTTAAGTGTCACATAGTCAACTCAAAGACATGTGGTTCAAATCCACCAGCTGCTTCTTGGGAGAAAGATGAAAAAGTCGCCCGTGTGATTTACAGCATCTGAAAACCCGCTGTAATGTCAGCTCCAAGTCAGTTCAACTCAATGGTATAACAGCAACAGCATCCAAGAGTAGAGCGCCATCCAGGGCTCAGGAAGCTCTGGAAGGAAGCTAGATGAACTTAGACTAAGGGGTCCATGCAGCAGACATTCAGATTGCTGGCTAAGAAGGGTTCCCAGTCTCCCGTTCCTTGGTATTCTGGGCTTCTCCTTACCTATGCATGCACTTCCCTGAAGTCACTCCTTGTTTACTTCCAACAGAACTACGCCTCTCTGGAAAGTTTCGTGACTACGGTGTGACAGTGCCCTGCAGCACAGATTCTCAGGGCCGCTTCCTCTCCCACGTGGTGTCTGGCTCAGCAGCAGCCTCAGCAAGAAGCACAGTGGTGGGCAGTGCACCTGCACCACTGTCACAGTCCAGACACCCCCGGGTGGCTCGCAGCCCCCCACGTCCTAATGGAAGGCCCCTACATCCTGGCAAGCTGGGACGCCACTCCCTTTACTTCAATGTCACTGTTTTTGGAGAGGAGCTCCACTTGCACCTGTGGCCCAACCGGCGGCTGGTGGTGCCAGGAGCCCCGGTGGAGTGGCAGGAGGACTTCCAGGAGCTGTCCCGGCAACCTTTGCAGCGGGAATGTGTCTACACCGGAGGCGTCACGGGCATGCCAGGGGCAGCTGTTGCCATCAGCAATTGCGACGGATTGGTAAGGGGAAAGCCTCTTGTCAAGCTGGGTTCTCCCACCCTCCCCACTCCCCCGTCCAGGCCCAGGCTGGCTGGGCCAGGCTCCATGGCCTCCTCCTTGGCTTCCCAGTGTTTGAGATTCCTGTGAATACGCTGTGGCCAGGGCCAAGTCAGGGACTGTGCTGCTTTCCAGAGAGAGCGCAGCCGATGCGGAGTAGATCAGGAGGGATGGCTCCTTTCTCTTGTCCATCTGTTCATCCATGTAACCAACCCATCCAGACCATGGTTTCCCTAGTTGACCTTTAAGGACCGACAAACCCAGGGCTTAGGAGGTGGACTCTGCTGGCTGACTACTGAGGTTTGCTAGATATGAGGACTTAAATGAGTTACTTAACCTCCCCTTGATTCATTCCTTTATGCACAAAATGACTATTCACTCTGCACATAAGTACGGCATGTGCCCGGCACTGTTCTAGGCACTGGGGACATGGCTGTGTCTGGGCAGGTGTGGTCCCTTCCCTCATGATAATGCTAAGAGGTTGGCCTGTCTGCGTTGTTGTTATTGTGTACCATCAAATTGGAACCAGCCCATAGCTGACCCTCTGGCAGGTTTTTCGGGGTAGTTCATCGCATGGGAGGAGATTGCCCATCTTTCTACTGTGGAGCAGCTGGTGGACTTGAACTGTGTGCCTTCGGAAGTGCAGCACAGCGTCTTGCCACTTGGCCACCAGAGCTCCCTCTGCATTGTTGTTGTTATGTGCCGTCGAGTCGTTTGCGACTCATAGCGACCCTATGCACAACAGCCCTAAACCCTGCTCTATCCTGCGCCAACCGCACTGCATCCGACACACCCATCCCGATTAACCCAGTCACCGAATCAATCCATCTCATAGAGGGTCTTCCCCTCCTGCGCTGTCCCTCCACCCTCCCAAGCATGATGTCCCTCTCCAAGGACCCGTTCCTCCTGGCAACATGTCCAAAGTATGTCAGACGAAGCCCCAGAATCCTTGCCTCCAAGGAGTAGCTTGGTTTAATCCTCTCCAAGATGAATCTGTTTGTATCAACTCTCGTTCTGTCCTCCCTAGTCATTGTCCAACTTTCTGATGCATAACAAGCGATTGGAAAGACCATGGCCTGTATCAGGCACACCTTAGTCTCCAGAGAGACACCGTTGCTCCTGAGTACTTTAGAGAGGTCCCTAACAGCAGACTTTCCCATCGTGATACTCTTTTTTATTTCCTGACTGCTGGTGCCAAGAGTGTTGACTGTGGAGACGAGCAAACTGAAGCTGTGAACAATCTCAATCTCTTCGCCATCCATCCTGATGCTGCCAATTGGTCCAGTGGTGAGAATCTTTGTCTTCTTGACATTGAGCCTCAGTCCATACTGATGGCTGCAGTCCTTGACCCTCTGCAGCAAGTGCATGAGGTCCTCCTCAGTTTCAGCAAGCAGGGTTGTGTCATCTGCATAATGCAGATTGTTAATAGATCTTCCACCAATCCTGATGCCACAATTCTCCTCATAGAGCCCAGCCTCCCAGATAATCTTCTCTGCATACATGTTGAAAAGGTATGGAGACAGGATGCATCCCTGGCGTACACCCTTCCCAATTTTGAACCATGCAGTGTTACCCTGCTCTGTTCTGACTACTGCCTCTTGGTCCAAGTATAGGTTTCGCATTAGAATGATCAAGTGTTCTGGGATTCCCATTCTTCTCAGAGTCAGCCACAGTTTGTTATGATCCACACAGTCAAATGCCTTTTCATAATCAATGAAACACAGATAGACATTCTTCTGGTATTCTCTGCTTTCAGCTAAGATCCATCTAACATCAGCAACAATATCCCTAGTACCATGACCCCTTCTAAACCCAGCCTGGACTTCCGGCAATTCTCTGCTGATGTGCTGTTCTAATCGTTTTTGGATTAGAACGGATCTGACTGGTACAGGAGGAGATTGTTCCGCCTTCTCAGCAGAGCATCTGGTGGATTTGAACCGTGCACCTCTGAGATTATAGTGCAGCTTCTTGCCACTAGGCTACCAGAGCTCCCTCTGCATTAGGCACTGTTATTCTCACCATCACTTTCTTCCTGGGAACTAATTTGTGTCAGAGCCAGCTCAAAAGTGACTCACCAGCATGTTTTCAGAACCAGCATTTTCTCCCATGGATCTTTCCCCCCAAAGCCTGCTGGCTTTCTGGCTACTCTGATTTTCCCTATCTTGGCACTTCCCCTGTCTCCACAATGCTGGGATTGCCCCCCACCCAGGCCAGTTGGCTCTGGATTGCAAACCAGAAAGCCACGGGGTGGGTTCTCGCCTTCACTTTCAGCTCTCACTGAGCTGCCTTCTGTTTGCTGCTGGTTTTCAGTGAGGGAGACCAGGCCCCCAGGATTCAGCACGGCAGCCCCTCAGCCTCAGTGGGCAGCTCTTCATGGCTCTCTACTTTGTCAGTGACAGCAGTTATGCACCAGTGTGTCCCAAACAAGGATCTGCCTACCCTCTGACCTTTAGCTTTAAGAAGGGTGAGTTAGACAGGATGGCTAAGGGGATGGGTTCTCTCTCACTGGGATAGGAGGGCCTTCTCACTATCTCCATCCTCCAGAGGCATCTTCCTGATGACCTTTGTCACCACCTTTGTCTCGGCTAGCATTTTGGGTGTTTCGTGGTAGAATGCTTGCCTTTCGTCCACGGGGCTCAAGTATGGCTGCCAGCCAATGCACCTCAGGTGTAGCCACTACTCATTTGTCAGTAAAGGCTTGTGTGTTCTTGGATGCTAAGAGTTTTAGAGGAGCTTCCTTACTAAGAAAGACTAGGAAGAAAGACATGGCAATCTATTTCAATCTGAAATCAATCAATGAAAGTTCAGTGCACCATAATGATCCAATCATCTGCTGATCTCAGGGCAGGCAATGGGCAGCATTTTGTTCTGTTGTCCAGGGTGTCGATGGCCGATGTGACAGAATCTAACAATAACAAGGAAAAATTTTAGACATATTCATCCCATTCATCTCCCCACCATGAAATTGTACTACCAGCATCCCAATCTCTGCCTTTGCTTTCACATGGCCCTTTCCCTCTATGTTTGCTTCTTTTTGTGTCTCTTCTCCTCTTTCTATTAGGACATTGGACATACAGATTAGGCCTCATTCGATTCCAATGTTGCTTCATATTGTTGTTTACCTTAGAGTTGGAACAGACCCATAGCTAACCCTCTGGCAGGTTTTCAGAGGCAGTTAATCACAAAGATAAGACTGCCCATCCTTCTCCCACAGAGCAGCTGGAGGCCTTGAACCGTGTGCCTTCGGGATTGCAGTGCAGGTTCGTGCCACTAGGCCACCGGAACGCCCTAGCTTCATATTATCACACTTTTAGAAAGCTATTTCCAAACAAGATCACCTTCCCAGGCCCCAAGGATTAGGACTTCCACATTATCTTTTAGGGAGCAAATTAAAGTTGTAATACCCCTGCTTCATAGCAAGAAAAGTTTCTTCCTCCTCGGCAGAGCGAGACACTCACTTGTAGTTTTAGCATCTACTTGATTGGTTTGTTGGAGCACAGTGGACTCTCAGCAAATTAGAGTGGTGATGGTTTTTGTGTCGAAAGTGGTAATATTTGAATGGGCCCTTGATGGATGAATGGAAATTTGTTGGGGGCAGAGGGTGGGACGTAACTCCTTCCAGGAGGAAACCTAGAGCCAGGAGTTGATGTTAGAACTGAGGACACTGTGGCTGGGTGCCATCGAGTTGACTGCGACCCACAGTGACCCCATGAGCAACAAGTCTGAACTTTGCCCACCTGCCTGGTGGCGTGCTCACCGTGTCTGACATGCATTGCTGCGGTCACTGTGTTGGTCTGTCGAGTTGGGAGTCTTCCTCTCTTTCTCTGACCCCTTCACCTTCCCCAGAATGATATCCTTTTCAAAGGACTGGCCCCTCCTATTCTGAGGATGGAGCATCTTAAAAATGCAACCCAAAAGAAGTGCTAGGCAGGTTGGGCTAGCTGACTTTGAGGGAAAGGAAGACAATACGAGTCAAGGATGGGCCAGCCAGCTCTAGTTAAAGGGGCTGGACTGACAGTTTTGAGACATTTTGCATGGCTGGGTGACCCTGTGTAAGTTCCTCTCTCTCTGTGGGCACTTGCATCCTTGGTGCCTGGAGGAGGCTGGCCTGGATGAAGTCAGGCCTTTTCCAGCTCTGAACTGTCTATGACCAAGCCCAGATGGGGGAGTTTGAAACCTGGGCCCTATAACTGGACTCTTCCCTTTTTTGATGGCTATGGGGGATCTGCTGGTGCTAGGCCTAGGCAGGGCTGCAGAGGCAGGAAGAGAGGAGAACATTCCTGTGTGAGATTCATGCTGAACAAGCCCAGCTCTCTGGACTAGTTTGTTGCTACCTGGCTTCGCAGCACTCTGGTGAGAGAGAAGTGCCATGTCTAAATGGGTGGCTCCGTCTCCATTCCCAACTGGAACCTGCAGTGATGGGGAGAGACTTGGTACTCCCTTTCTCCCGTCTTACAGAGCCCTTCGCCCTTGGTTCCCTGAGATGCTGGGGAATGTTATATACACTGTAGTTAGTTCATGCCTGAAAGTGGTTTCCCCTCCCACCCACTTTTCTGGAGAGCCTTTGTGTATCACAGCTGGTGGTGGTTGGCGGGGAGTGAATCCCAGGAATGAGGAAGTAAGAGTCCTTGCCCTGGATAAGTTCCTAGACTAATGGGGTCCCAGACACAGAAGCAGACAGGCTGCAATCCTGTTTAGGTACCATGGCGAGACCAATTAATTTTGACCAGAGCACCTGGGAAGGCTCCCTGGAAGAGGCAGTATTAGCTCAAGACTAAACAAAATAAATCTAAAGGAGAAGTTTGGGGCTTCTGGCCAGTGGAGAGAACATCTGACCCTGGCAGGCTTGAGGATTTTGAGAACCAGAAATAAAGGATGTGGCAGGAGGCCTGGTTCTATTCCCCAGATTTCTCCTCTGGGATTAGCAGCAGCTGCGGTGGGATGCTATCTGGCCTGAGAATCCC